TCTCTATGGTCAAATTAAAATAAATGAATGAATGAATAAAATTATAAAAAAATGTGAGCTGAAATCCTGTGAAGTTATAAATAAGCCCATAAGATTGTTTCTAGTGATAAGCATTTTATAAGAAGTAAACTAGTAGGAAAATATACAATGTATGACAAAGACTAAAAACTGATAGTTTCACATTTCAGAGGTGGTATCTACCTTTTATTTATCTTTTTAAAATGTATTAATTTAGAAAATACTTAATAAAAGACTTTGGGACATTTCATTTTATATATGAATCTGCCTAGTTATCATTTAATTAATTTAGGTGAAAGTCTTTCTCTCTGTCTTGCTCACTATCTCTTTTTCTCTTGGTTTTGGTATTGTAAATGAGAATGTAGCCTTTTTTTATGGGATTTTTTAGAATTTAGATAATGTTTGAAATAGAATATAAAAATGGTCTCTTTCTGCAAAAAGACTTTAAAAGTAGAGGCAGGTATTCTATGGAATACTACAGAGCCATAAAAAACAATAAGACCCTGGCATTTGCTAGGAAGTGGTTAGATATGGAGGATCTAGCTGGGTGAAGCAAGCCAGGATATGAAAAAAAGATATTGTGTGTATCCACTTAATACATACTGACTATCCGCACTCTATGGTAGAGATCAGAATATTGAGGAGCATAAAAGCAGTGAAAATAGTTAGGGGTGCTGAAGACAGTACGGAATGGGCCAGAAGAGGGGAAGAGGATAGAGAAGGATAGCAAGAGAACAAATAGAGAGGCATGACATTAGTGGGACACAAAAATGGTTTATTGCCTGTTGATGATAACATGTATAGTGTTCTCAACCGGACTAGTCTGAGAAGTATTAGAAGTATTTCATGTTGGGTAAATTCTTTTTACAAGCAAAATGATATATAGTGATTGAATGTTCAAAAATATAATGAGAATAATAATAATAACAATCTGGAAAAAATAATGAAAAGCTATTAGATGATGATGATGTGGATAGTAATGTCTTGACTGATATGCAAGGAAAAAAATGTAATACACTGTAAAGATATATGTGATTTAACGTAATTTAAACAAGATTATGAAAATAATAAAATTAAAAAAATTAGCATGAATGAAGGCTGAGCTGTATGCTTGGCATTTTACATATAAGGCATGTGATCTGGCTAGAATACTTTTATATTAACCTACTCTTGACCTTTCAAGGCTTAAAGTAGTATGGTCTCTATAGGAGAAAGAAACAAAGGAAGTGGTAAGAGGCTCAGATATTTTGTACATGTTTCCTTTTCTCTTTATTTCACACGTTAAGTACCTAAAACTATATCAGATGGAGAATTTTGAAGAATTCTTAGTAATTTTTGTTTTGCATAGAAAACATTATTTTTGGACCGCATTGTAGATCTTTGGCTGAATTAAAAAAAAAAAAAGTAAGGGCAGGTAGACTCTATGCCTTTTCTATCAGGCACCCACTCAATTCTTGGCCATATATTATATCTACCTAATGGATATGACAGGAGAGTTTCAGCAAAATCATACCAAAGACAAGGAAGGCCTTTCTCTAACAGGAAGAGCTTCCTAGTCAGACTGGCCCCAGGCTTTGTTGCCCCATTATTAGAAGGAGGAAATCCCAAGAGAGATTTTTTTCTTTTAACCCATTTCTGTTAGGATTGGAGTGAAGAAGTGCAGGCTTGTGGAATGGATCCTTGATATCCTTAGATGTCTTTATATTCTGGAAATTAACATATTAAAGGATATATTAAAGTTAGGAAGCCACTGGGGAAAAATCACAGAGATCATTAGATTATGAATGTCATTAGTTTGAGATATTATTATCTCATGGATAATGACTACGTAACGAGCTTTGGGACATTAGGCAGGATAACCTCGCTAAGCTCTATGACCTTATCTTCAAAATGGGGTTAATGACAGCACTGATCTCAGATGGTTGCCATGAAAATTAAGCAAGGCAGAATGCATTGGCTAAGGATTCTTAGATATCAGCCCTGGAATCTGGATCTGACTGCTTAAGCAGGAAAGTATTTGGAATAGATACAGAAAATCTTGGCCTTGCTGGAAGGGCTAGAGAACTGGACTTTAAGCTTATACAGCTCAGGATTTCAGTCAAAAATTTAAAAAAAAATTTTTTTTAAGCATTTATTTATTTGTTGTGATTGTCAGTTCCAGGACTTGAACCACATTTGGGTCTGTGGGAGTCCAGGACCTCAACCACCATGCCACCTGCCAGGCCATCAGTCAAAATCTTGACACAGAACTAACTAGTCTGGGGAGGGCTGCTGCATTATTACCTGGCATTGGTTGCCACAGCTCTCTTTGCTTTTACTGGGGCTATGATTAACGTTGTCACTAATACCTTTAGAACTGATTGTTATTGACACTGTTTCTTGAAATGATTGTCCACTCTTCCTGGTTTCTTTTTTCACCACTTGCTTCTAATTCAGAATCTCAGGTCAGTGATTCTGGATCATACAGCCATACCTTGTGACAAAAGCCTAGAAAAGCAAGTTTATGATATTATCAGTTAGCTTTTTTTAAAAATTATTTTATTTAACTTTGTTTATTTATTTATTTATTTATTTATTTATTTTAATTTGACTAGAGAGGGACAGAGTAAGAAAGAGAAGGGAAGTGAGAAAGCGTGACTCAAGGTCCAGGACTTAAACTGTAGTTGGCCATGTGGGAGTCCTGCGCCCTCAACCACCAATCACCATGCCACCTACTGACCCCAGGCTTTTTTTGTTTGTTTGCTTTAAATCTTATGATTTGTTATTTATATTCAATCATTGTACTCTTTATAAACACAAAATATTTTTCAAGGAATGCATGGAGTATGTGATAATCAAATCAAGGATATTACCATAAATATAATTTTCAAAAGAGAAGTTTCCAGTCTTGTATCTGATAAGTTTTTTTTTCCTGAAACCCTCCCAGCTGTCCTCTACCATCCATTCCTCTCCCAAACAGTTTTTGTATGCACACTTGCCTTTTCTACAATTATAGCTGTGGATCTTTCAATTTCTGCTGTAGAATGCAAACATTTAGTGTATATTGAGTGAGGATATACAGTGTTTGTCTTTCATAGTCTGGTTTACTTCCCTTAGCATTAAATCTTCTATATTCATCCACTTTATGTCAAATGGTAGGGTCTTGTTTTGCCCTATGTTGGAATAATATTCTATAGTGTGTATGTGTCAATTTTTCAATCTTTTCATCAGTTCTTGGACATTTAGGTTGGCTCCAAGTCTTAGCAATTGTGAATAATGCTGCAATAAATGTGGATGTGTAAGTGTCTTTCTGACTGAGTCTATTCCTGTCCTTTGGGTAAATACCAAAGAATGGGATTATTGAGTTGTATCAGTCAATCTTTATGAGAGAACTTGGATTCTGCCCACCATGAAAACTTAGAAAATTGGGGCTTCCCAGAGCAAAAAAGGAATTCAGAGCTGGGCAGCCCCAAAACTGATTAATTGCCACTACTTACAAAGTGCTCAGTACTGTGCCTGACATGTGGTAAGTGCCCAATAAACATGGGTTTTTATGAATTTATAAGTCTTTATTTTAAAAAAAGGTTGAGGAAGATTTATAGCCCAGATTTGATCTCTAAAGCAAATAGATTGGAGCTCCTACAACAATAAAGGTCAATGGATGAGTGTAATTTTCCAGCCTAGAGTTTACATGGTGGTCCAATTAAGTTTACTAGGTTGACTCTCACAACTGTTTTGAAGTAATTCAAGGTTAATTCTGTACTCACTAGCCAAAATATATAAGTAGTCAGCCCAGATTGCTACTGAGACTTCTAGTCACTTCTTCCACCTGGTTTCCCATTTTTTTGTTTATTTATTTATTTTCGGAAAGATTTTTGCTATAGGGCATGTGTACTTGCTGGAGTGATATAGAGAGAAAGTGAAAAATCACCTCCCCCCTCCCCCAGTGGGGGGATGGCCATGCCACAATCCCTTTTCTTCCATTCTCTTTTCTGGATTTGAGGCACACACATACCCATACCTATGTGAGTTTCAAGCCACTGGATTCAGAACTCGAACTATGGTTGGCTATGTGAGAGTCCAGTGCCTTAACCGCTATACATCTGCTGCCCCCACCCCATCCTCACTTCCCATTTGTAGGTGGTCTATAATTATGTAATTTAGGACGTCTTGGCCTTAACGTCAGAGACCTGGATTGGAATTTTAGCTTCCATTCATTAAACAATTGTTTATCAATTATTTTCAGTGTACAGAGCTGTATTCTAAGTTACTATAGATATGGTGATGTAAGCTCCATGAATCAAGAAGATAACAATCTAATAAGAGAGGTGGGGATAATCAAGTAAATACATAAATAATTACAAGTTTTAATAAGTGCTATGAAGGCATCAAATGGTGAAACGAGAGGAAATGTTACAGGCTAACCAAATAGAACCAACATAGAAGCCTTTGAGGTGATACATTGAGACCAGATGTATGAGATGGAACAAAGGGAATCATTTCCAGCAAGGAGAACCAGATGTGCAGAGCCCCTGAGGTGTGCCTACAGGGTGGTAGACATGAAGAATGGTAGAACAAAATGAGGTCGGAGAGGTGGAAAAGGTCTAGGTCATGTAGAGTTTTATAGGGTGTGAGAAGAAGCCTACAATTTAGACGTGTTAAGGACTCAAATGTATTCAAGGCTGAGAGATTTGTAAGGATTTATTTGGCCGGACTAGGGTGTTAGAAATGCAGCTTAAATATTTTGAGGTGGTTGTGGTTGTGTTGGAGAATGAGTACCATTTCTCACAACTGTCCCTGGGTGACATTCCCCAGGGTAGACAAATGATCTGGAGAGTGATTTTAATTCAGTATTATTAAAATGCTTAGGTTCTTACCACTGATATTTTTTTCAAAAGAGTTAAATTTCTTTTTTAATTAGATTTTTCATTTAATAAAAATATATATTATGTAACTAAATACATGCCAGCTATTTTCCTGCTAATTTTATCTGTTTATTTTAGTGCTCTTCTTTTTAATGAAGTGAAATATGTTACCACCCAGGAAGACCTTCAGAATACAGAAAACTCTCTGAAAGGAAAAGCAGATATTGTATTTTCATATGTACGAGCCATTGGAACGCAAGGTATATATTGACATTTTGCTTTAGTCTTTGCTGTGCCTCCATGTTGAAGTACCTAAAAATAGTGTGTTTTATGACCGCAATCTTAATGTAATACATTTAAAGCTTCCTATTATTTGATAGGTATTGCTGACTGTGTGGTTTTCTTATTTGTTTTGGTATTTGTTATTTGTGACTGGAAAAAAAAATACTTGACAACTTAAACCTGGTTTTGATAGCACCGTTTTGAGCAATATCTAGTTTTGTGGTAAGGAAGTTTATGAACGTTTTATTAACAAATTAATAATAATTAGCAATCGTTACACTTTTAGGACTTTTATTTCTCAGTGGTTATAAATCACAGTAGTGCAAAATGTTTGATGAAATAAAATCTTTTCTGACAACCTCAGTTTTTTTTTTTTTTTGAGAGATTTTCGCTATAGGGCGTGTGCGCTCGCCAGACAGAGAGAGACATTAGAGACAGAAAGCGAGAAATCATCTCCCAGGAGTGATGGTCATGCCGTAATCCCTTCTCCTCCGTTCTCCTCTCAGGATTTTGGGCACGCACACACACGCCCGGCGTGAGTTTTAAGCCACCGGGTCTGGAATGCGAACCATGGTCGACTACGTGGGAGTCCAGCGACATAGCCATTACGCTAACTGCTGGTTCCCACAACCTCAGTTTTTATAATGGGTGCTGACTACTTGGCAATCCACGGAACATAGTATGTTTGTAAAATATACTACTCCATAATCTGTCTGTTTTGTTTACTTTCCAGGGTCACAGGTTGTGTTTTATACAGCCTGTAGTTACCAGTAGAGAAAGAGATGAGCTATAGGGGGCTTACACTGCCATAGCAGAACCAGACGGTCCTGACTTGTCATTTTTTCCTGAAGAATTATTTATTTTAAAATTTTATTTATTAGTATTATAATTTTAATTTGCTATAGGGCACATGTGCTCACCAGAGAGAGAGAGAAAGAGAGAGAGAGAGAGAGAGAGAGAAAGTAAGCCACCAGGTCTGAGACTTGAACCATGATCCAACCATGTTTGGCCATGTGGGAGTCTAGTACTGTAACCACCATGCTACATGCTGCCACCCCCCTCCCCCAATTTGTATGTTTTTGAAATAATTATTTTATTTGTTATTATTTCTTTAATTTGACTAGAGAGAGACAGAGAGGTGAGCTACCAGGTCTGTGACTTGAACCATGGTTGGCCAAGTGGGATACTCGCACCTTAACTACCACGCCACCTGCCACCCCCCTAACTTGCGTTTTACCATCATCAATCTGGCTGCTATATTTGGTATAGATTGGGAGGAGCATGGGCAAATAGGGGAGAAAATTAGGAAGTTATTATAATAATGCAGGCAAGAGATGATGGTAAAGTGGCATGGTATTAGCTATGGAAGTGGCAATAAATCTGAATTTTAGTCACTTTTGGAGGTAGTACTAACTGAATTTGCTGACATGCTGCATGTGGAGTGAGAAAAGCAGAGACTAGGATGGCTTTGGGGTTTTGGCCTAAACTACTCAAAAGGTACAGTTACTAAGAACAAAGGTGGATGAGATAGTTTGGAGAGGATGCTCTAGAATTCACTTTTGACATCATGCTTGTGAGATACCCAGTAGACATCAAATAGAGATCTCAATAGGTAGTTGGATATTATTATACTGCATTTTATGTTGGCAATATACACCAGGGATATAAATTGAGAAATAAAGCTATGGGACCAGAAGAGATCATTAATGATCTCTAAGATGGAAAAGAGAAAAAGACTAAATTCTTCACCATCTACAGATCAGTGAGGTGAGGAGTAACCTTTAAAGACACAGAAGGAAATGGCAATAGGGTGGGAGTGCCCTGTAAGTAAGGTGTATAGAGTAGGAACATCAGTATTATATGATGCTGGCAGGGTAATTGAGCTAAGAACTGCCAGTCAACCATTATGTTTAGTAACATGGAAATTCTTCGTAACCTTGACATATGCAGTTTTTGTAGATTGGTAGGAGTAAAACATTTATTAGGAAGGATATGAGAGAGAATGGGTAGACAGCAACTGGCATCTGTGAAAATAGATGCTCCTTTGAAATGTTTGGCTCTTACAGGAAGGAGGAAATGGGGTTGTGGCTGCAAGAAAAATGGATGAAGAGAATAAATTTAAAAAAAAATTTAAAGTTTACCAAAGGGTATGTGTACTCACCAAAGTTGGGTGAGGGGAGCAAAAAGCACCTTACCCCTCCAAGGGGCAAGTCATGTTATAATACATTCTCTTCCATTTCTTTTTCCTTTTGGGATTTTGGGTATGCATGCACATGCACCTGGTGTATATTTCAGGCTTCTGGGAAGGGACTTAAATCCCACAGTCAGCCATGTGGGATCCAACTCAGATAACCACCAAGAAGCAGGTTGGCCTGAAAATAACTTTTGCAGTATGTGTGCTTAGAGAGAGAGAGAGAGAGAGAGAGAGAGAGAGAGAGAGAGAAAGTGAGAAATCACCACCTATGGATGACCACACTGCAGTATCTTTTCACTGCAACCCATTCTCTTCCATTCTTCCCTTGGGATTTTGGGCAAATATCCACACATGTCTGGTGTGATTTTCAAGCCACTGGGTCTGGGATTCAAACTGTGAAGTCGGCCATGGTGGGATCCAGATGCCTTAACCTCCATACTATCTATTGGCCACCAAGAATAATTTTTTAAGAAGCATATTTTTTTGGTATTGTTTTGTTTTTCATTCAGGATAGATTGTATATATATGTGTGCACATGTGTGTGTGCACCGATGCACACACACACAGAGAAAAACCCCTTCCATAGAACCTGATCACACCGTGATCCTC